CCAGGATTCTGGAAACATGGACACCTGCCAAACTTCAAGAAGTTCCACTCTAAGCTGCCCTGCCTGCCATTTCAAGCAAGCCCATACTCTCAAGTTCTTGAGGGACTGAGTACAAGCATGTCAAAGAGGTGGGGAATTTAAGGCCCCACCCCATCTGAGGGCTTGCTGGTGATGTTCACCTTGTTTGGCAGATTCCCTTCTCCCAGTTCTGAAGAGCAGGGAGAACCCTCCCAGCTAGCTTCTCAAGAATGCAACAAGGGGGGCAAGAAGCCAGTACATTGCTGGGATATCCTGCAGTCATGCTACTCACACTGTCCCTTGTCTGGCCAAGTGCGAGTGTCTTCCTTTTGTGATGGGGTATCACTGAACTACCAGCTCTCAGGGTATTTTATTGTCCCTTATCCCTTGCCTGGGTATGAGGATCCCATGCCTTTCCAAGATTCATTTTTATGTAGGTGCTGGGGGTTCAAACAGATCCTCAGGCTTGTGGACCAACAACTCAGACACTCCACACAGCCCTGCTTGTTAGTCATTAAATTATCACATCAATGCTGACATATCCATTCAAATAATTTCTAAATGGGATATTTTTTCACTACTAAGTGAGATAGTTTTCTGTAGTCAGCCTTTGTGGCAAGTTGTCAGCAGCCACAGCCAGCAGTTATCATGTCTCAATGAACAGAAGTTCCAGATTAATTTTCTGTATGTTATTTTATTTTTTTCATTTTACATACCAACCAAACTTCCCCTCTCTCCCCTCCTCCAGCTCATCCTCCACTTTCCCCCACCACACCTGCCATTCACTCAAAAAAGTCTGGCGTATCACCAAGCACCTCCCCTCTGCTTTACAGCTGAGCAAGGCATCCCCCTATATGGAATGGACTCCAAAAATCCCATTCATTTACTAGGGATAAATCCTAGTCCCACTGCCAGGGGCCCCACAAACTGACCAAGTCACACAATTATCAACCACATTCAGAGGGCCTAGTTTGGTCCAATGTAGACTCCTGAGTTGTCATTCTGAGTCTGTGAGCTCTCATTAGCTAGGGTCAGCTGTGTCTGTTCTTTTCCCCATCATGACCTTTACCCACTTGCTCATCTAATCCATCCCCCTCTTTGACTGGACTCCAGGAGCTTGACCCAGTGCTTAGATATAGATCTCTGCATCGGCTTCATCAGTTACTGGATGAAGGTTCTATGATGACAATTAGGGTAGTTGCTGCAGGCCACAAGAATCTGAAATAGAGACTCAGCTATATATGATAAAGCTGTATCTAGAAGGATCCAAAAATCCTTCTATAGGAGAAATAAAATATCCAAGATATCTTGTGTGCTCATACTCCTAGGCCATAAGTCGAACAGTATAAGCTTCTCAGACCTACTGCTGATCTGAACTAGGTAACACCCTTACAGAAACAATGCCTGTCTCCTAGGATGTGTAGATGCATTGCTTTGTTTCTTGTGCAAATGAAGGACAGATTGTCCTACTCCTCACAGGCCAAATGGCATTCCAGAACAATTGACTTATAACAAAAAGGGTTTTTTTGCATACCAGGTGAGGGAGGATTGAGGCAGAATTACTAGCTCAGACCACAGTCCGGTAGCCAAAGAAAGAACAAGTCAGTTTTTTAGATGGTAGGGATTGAGTCAGGTCAGAAGAGTAGGAAGGGAAGGCATGAGAATGGATGGAGAAACTGAGGATGAAGATGAGATTGATAGCAGAAGAGCTTAGTTAAGGCTATGAGAGGACAGGAAGAGAAGGGACAGGGTGAAGCTGAGTGTGAGAACAGAACTAAGCCATGTAGAGAGAGAACTCATTAAGAGAAGGGACAGAGAGGAGCTAAATAGAAGAATAGAATTGAAGCAGCATAGATAGAATCTTGACTCAGAAAAACAAAATGTATGGACCAAAGAGTTTAATGTAATTAGACTCATTTATTATTATCAAAGATTAGGTATTCAGCTGGTGGTACATCCTTCATGGACCCTAGGAGAGGGCTATCAAGAGGCTACACCCCACAGAGTCTGCTATAGGTAGTCATCAATCTGATTACAGGGGAAGGTCAGTCTTATCTTGGGTCAATCTTGTGGAGTCCTGGTTATTTCCCTAGTTCCAGGTTTCTCCCTAACCACACAATGACTCCTTCTATCAAGATACCTCTTTCCTTGCTCTCCCTCCCTGTGCCCTCCAACTCAACAATCCTGTTCCCTTATGTTTTTATCCCCCATTCCCTCCCCACCACACTCCTAGTTTAAGCAGGAGATCTCATCTATGTTCCCTTGCAAGGGCTATCCATGTATGCCCCATTAGGGTTGTTCTTGTTACCTAGCTTCTCTGGGATTGTCAATTGTAGCCAGGTTATCCTTCATTTTAACTCTGATTTCCACTTATGAGTGAGGACACACTATGTTTGTCTCTTTTGATCAGGGTTACCTCACTCAGGATGACTTTTTCTAGTACCATCGATTTGCTTAAAATTTTATGCTGTAATTGACTTTTACCACTGAGTACTATAATACTCCATTTTGTAATACATCCAAATCCCAACAGAAATGACAGCTAAACAGACATGTTCTGAACACCCTACACTCCCCATAGTATAGTTTGTGGTCCCTCTTCAATTGTAAGTTTCCAGAATTGCCAGAGTTTGGAGGACATTCATTCATTGGTCTATTTTTCTTTCTCACTGACCAGTTAAGACCCAGGCTTGAAGGAAAGGCAGAACTATTTTCACAGCCCTCAACAGCAAGTCAGGATTAAAAGATCAAAGCATTTCTCAATTACATTGTGTGAGGAAACCCTGAGCTAAAGAAGAAAGTACACTAAGTAGAAAAAATAATTAATACCTGAGAAAAATGCAAAGAATAATTTAATGACAAGGAAATACAATGTTTCTTAGCATACATATATGAGGTATTTTATTTTTTTATATTCTCTATTAATTATTTTAACATTAGCATTGTTAAAATGCTTTTACAAAACAGAAAATGTTCGGCATACATCATCTACACATAGAATTGTACTTAGGAGACCAAAACATGAGTATTATGAGTTCCAACATATTCTTGACTAATTACTGATGTCCAAGCCAGGCTGGATAACAAACAGCATTTCAAGGTAATTTATGAAAAATATGAAAAATAAAACAAGGAACAAATACCCACCACCCTTTTACAGACACCCTTACTTGAAAATTAGGGTCACATACTGCCTGATATTTAAATATAAATACATCACTTACATGATGGCCATTATTCTATACATTGCAGCAGATAAATACCTCTCACTAAGTGAAAGCACCATAGAACATGAAACAAAGCCACAGAAGGAATATAAGGACCACAAAATAAACTTCGCTAAATGGTTTGCATTACATATAACTACTTTAATATATACCTCAAATGTTGCAAAATAGAAGCTATAATGTGATCTTCACATCAGTCTTTAGTGAATGTGTTGATTAATTTACTTAATTCAAGGAAATGAAAACAGGATGTTCTAAGTTTTTTGTATCAAAAATGAAGACAACTGTGGTGTCTAACAGTTTTACCAAATGTTTACACGAATGCAGTTTTTCACTTGTATGAGTTTCTTCCTATTTCCTGATATCAATATGACATAAAAGAAAGCTCTAAAATATTTACAGGGCTAGAGACATGGCCAATCTCTTAATACAAGCTCATCCCCAGGACCAAAATCAGGATTTTGACAACTTACAGTAATTCCCACTGCAAGAAGTTCCAGGGGTCTAACCTTCTGGAGAAGGAGAATGCACATGCACAAGTACAGACAGACATCACATAATTAAAATTAAAAGAAATCTTCAAACTAATTTTTACTTCAGAATGATTTTCTTTTGTAATTCTAGTCATAAAGGTATTGAGGCATCTGAAGGCTTACAGAGTTACTCCCAATCATGTATTGATTCATTTAACTGAAAGCAAGCATGTAGGCTTGACTTCAGAAAAATCAATCATTCTCAGTCTGTGGTACTATTTGGGAAAATTTAGGAAATCCTGCCCTGCTGGGGGTAGACTTGAGAGTATAACATTTCCCATTTATACTTTAAGATTTATGTTGCAGATTAAGAATGTGAATTTTTAGTTTCCTATTTTAGCTACTATGTCTGACACTTGTTTCCATGCCACTTTCATGCTGATCTTGTATTGCTTTGGAACCAAGGGCCAATTAAATACTTTCATAGGTTCACATTAATATGATGTTATATCACAGCAACAGAAATGAATTAGTACACATTGATGAAGTTTTACACCTGGCTGGATTCATTATCTCATGTAATTGAAGTATGAAATCTAAACGAGTTACCATATTGCTTAAATCCATAGTCCTTTTGATCATGTGAATTTACAGGTATAAACAAAATACAGAGGGACATCACAATTCTTGAAGAGAATTTTGACACCTGTGAGATATTTCTCTCCAAAATAATCACGTGTAACTGAATATAAGTGTGTTTGCTAAAGATCTTATCAAATCCCTTATAGTCACATTTCTTTGGTATGAGTTTTTTATAGATGCTCAAGATGTAAAGTTATATTCACAGGCTTTTATACACCAATTACACACTAATAGTAATATGCTGTGGGATGTTCTGTATGGCAAATGTGTTGCTCTGATTGGTCAATAAATAAAACACTGATTGGCCATTGGCTAGGCAGGAAGTATAGGCGGGACAAGGAGGAGAATAAAGCTGGGAAGTGGAAGGCTGAGTCAGACAGACACTGCCAGCCGCCATGATGACAAACAGCATGTGAAGATGCTGGTAAGCCACGAGCCCTGTGGCAAGGTATAGATTAATGGAAATGGATTAATTTAAGCTGTAAGAACAGTTAGCAAGAAGCCTGCCATGGCCATACAGTTTGTAACCAATATAAGTCTCTGTGTTTACTTGGTTGGGTCTGACGGCTGTGGGACAGGCAGGTGAGAGTTGTCCTGACTGTGGGCCAGGCAGGAAAACTCTAGCTACAGTAATACTTTTCTAGGGTTTCTCTCCAATATGTGTTCTTGCATGCCTTTGAAGATGACCATGCTGTAGAAAGGCTTTACCACACTGATTACATTCATAGGGTTTCTCTCCAGTATGTGTTCTTGTGTGCCTTCCAAGATGACTGTAATGAACAAAGGCTTTACCACACTGATTACATTCATAGGGTTTCTCTCCAGTATGTGTTCTTGTATGCCTTTGAAGATTACTATGATGTCCAAAGGCTTTAGAACATTGATCACATTCATATGGTTTCTCTCCAGTATGTGTTCTTGTATGCCTTTGAAGATTACTATGACGTCTAAAGGCCTTAGTACATTGATCACATTCATATGGTTTCTTTCCACTATGTGTTCTTTTATGCAATTGAAGAACACCGTGGCGAGCAAAGGCTTTACCACACTGATTACATTCATAGGGTTTCTCTCCAGTATGTGTTCTTTTATGCATTTGAAGAACACTGTTTTGAGCAAAGGTTTTAACACACTGATTACATTCATATGGTTTCTCTCCAGTATGTTTTCCTGTGTGCCTTTGAAGATGATTGTAATATGCAAAGGCTTTACCACACTGATTACATTCATAGGATTTCTCTCCAGTATGTGTTCTTCTATGCATTTCAAGATTACTATGAAGTACAAAAGCTTTACCACACTGATTACATTCATAGGGTTTCTCTCCAGTATGTGTTCTTGTATGCATTTCAAGATTACTGTGAAGTACAAAGACTTTACCACACTGATTACATTCACAGAGTTTGTCTCCAATATATGTTTCCTGATACCTTTTAAGATTACTATGTTGTGCAAAGGCTTTACCACATTGATTGCATTCATATTGTTTCTCTCCCTTTTGACCTCTTTCATACCTACAGGGATAATTTAAAAATGTAAAACTTTACCACAATTATTACACTGTTACATCTTTATTTCTCTAAGAATTAATTTTTCAGTTTGTTGTACACATAAAATGGAATCAAATCTTAAGGTTTTTTCACTTAGCTTAGACTCATGTTGTTCCCCTTTAATAAGGATTATTTTCCACATTTGGAGATGCCTGTTATGGTAAGAACCTTTATTACAGGACTCACATTTATGGCATATTTTTTCTCAAGGAGATTTTTTTTATATATATGAAAAGAACTGGAAGAATTCAGACTTTCACCCCACCTATTTCATCAATATATTTTCCTATACTGTGAATCCTACTATATTTGCAAAGTGAACCAGGGAAGACAGAAGTATTATATCTTCCCACTACTCATAGGGCTTCTCTTCAGTTTGTTTGCTGATATATTCTCTTTTAAGCTGGGAAACCAATTACATGTAAACTTGAATCACATTTAGCAAGTCTACTCAACATGGGACTACTACTACTACTACTACTACTACTACTACTACTACTACTACCTGCCAACACAATTCACTTACCTGCCTTTCAGGTATATGGATTATGAACATCATGAATGTACTTTAAGCTGTGATTATTTACACTGCTGCATTTCTTTAAAACTTAAAGAGACATTAAAATATTTCTGGGGGCACATTTGTATCAGCTTTCACATGAAAATTACCTTTCATGTCGTTCAGAACTTGGACAATGTTCTTCAACTTCAAGATCTTCCCAATTGCATCCTAAAATATAGGATGAGAAAATGTATGAAATATTACAGAAATTTGTGCAAAATTTTAAGTTACTATCTTCAGTGATCCTTAGAACCATGCCTGATTTAGTCACCCCATTCTTCCTCATTCTCAATCAGAATTACCAAAGAGCATCAATAACCAAGAAACAGTTGTTGCCTTACTTTAAAATGTGAAGGAAAATTTACCTATAGCAATGAGGTTCATATATGTCTCCAGCATCACATCTTTATAGAGATTCTTCTGGGAAGGATCCAGCAATGCCCACTCCTCCTGAGTGAAGTTGACATGCACATCATCATATGTCATGGCATCCTAAAATATGCCATACATAAGTATGCCATGCATATGTATAAAACAAAAACATGATACTGACAACATTGTAAATGCATTTTTCTTTGACAATATAGTCATAATTCTTGTGCTTCACACACTTATTCTACAACCCAGATATTACAATATAATCATCAATTTATTTTAGAATGAAACAGAATAGGAGGTTTGCTTCTATTGTTTCTGAATGCTTTGAATGGGATATCACCTTGCAAGAAAAATGCCTATTGACAGACATAGAGAGACAAGCAAACACATCAGCAGTACTGAGTACACATCAGAGAAACTGTATGAATAATAACTAACTACAAAAAAGATGAGTAAGCTTAGTGTATTGGCTCATGCCTTTAATCCCAGAATTCAGAAAGCAGAGGCAGGTCTATGTGCTTCTGAGCTGAAAGTTAGTCTAGTCTATGCATTCAGTTCCAGGACAGCAAGAAGTAAATATTAAGAACCTGTCTACACTGCAAACATCAATAAAATGTACAAAAAAGATAGGATAAATTCAGAGACTTTTTTAATGAAGCTTCTACAAAGAGTTAGGCGTTCATTCCAGTTCTGTATTCATCTTCCAGAAACCTGAATTCCTCTAGTTTAAACTGTAGTTTAAAAAATCTTACGAAAAAGAACTGTTTATTGAAACAGTTACAAATAGACAGATGAGAACATTAGCAATATCACCGTTGATTATAAATAATCAACACAGGGCAGGACAGATGACTCAGAAGTTTAGAGCTTTTGCTGTTCCTTCATATAGATGGGTTCAATTGCCAGGACTTAAATGGGGAAATCACACAACTGTTCATTATTTCAAGCTCATGGATTCTAAGACTCTCTTTTGACTGCTGCTAGGGCCACACATATATGTGGTGCATATCCATGTATACAGGCAAAAGAATCATAATTATTACAAAAAATCAAAACAAACAAAATGAGCAAAAGGAATGTCACACACATGTAATTTAAAGACTTAGAAGACCCAGGCACTATTACTGTCATGAATATTGTCATCCTGGGAAAGAGAGTGATATCCTCTGCCAAATTAAAGATTCAAGCTTGGGATAAAGCTCAGAAAAACAGCATAAGTTTGACATGTACAAAATTGTATACTCTAGGCCAATCATCCAATAATATCTATAAAAAAAAACCCTGGAATGTTGGCCAACTTTTTAATGTAAGCATGTAGAAGAAAGAGTCAGGTGAATCTCAGAGTTTAAGGCCAGGCTGGTGTATAGAACTATGTTTAGGACAGTCAGGGTGACTCAGACAAAGTGTATCATCAGAAACAAATATAAAAACAGCAAAATTTAAAAAAAAAAACTGTTGGAGACCGACTCCGGACAGCTGTGTCTTGAATTTTGTGTGACCTTCCTTACTTTATCAAACCTTGCAAAAAACAGGTTTCTGGCCTAACCGCGGGCTGTACAACTTCCTGGAGTACGTGCTAATCAGCCAGCTGCAGGGGCCTGGGACCAAAGCGACCTCACCCTTCCTTAGGAATTTTCCATTCTTCTCTCCTTTTGCTTCCTCTGCTCCCCCTCCCTGCCTGAAGCCCTGCTTATAAGCCTCAATACCCAGTCAATAAACGAGACCTTGACGTGACTCAGACTGCCTCTGTCTTCCCTTATGCGCCTGGTCTCCTTTCTCTCTCGCCCCCATTGATCTTTCAGGAGGTGCCTCCTCGGGTCTCCCCAATAACCTGGCCCGCAGGACGGGTCAAAAAACATGCTAGAAAATGGCTTAGCATCAAATACTACTTTGTTTAATTGTATCTTATGTGATTTAGTAATACCATCTATAATGGTGGTGAAGTCATGACAGTACAAGTAGGAATATGGTTGATTCATTTCAACCACAACATAATAGAAACCTAGAAAAGAAAATGAGTTGAGGCTATAGAGATACATATCATACCCCCCAATGAGATATTTCATCCAGAGAGTTTCTTCCTACTTAAGGTTCTAAAAGCACCCCGAAGAAAGCTGACAAGGAGAGACATATGTTCAAATACCTCATCCTATCTGGGATCTTTTCATACAGTCGACTAGATTCTGACCCACGTCACTATAGGCTCAGGATTATCCATGATCATTTAGCCACCTCAATAATCCTCAGAGTCTGCAACACCTCTACATTGTTCAAATGTCCAAAGTCTCTTTTGACACTCAATACAATTCTTGACTGTGTCATCTTATAAATTCAGAAAAGAATTTAAATCTTTCCAACAAATAAATGGCAGAGAAAACCCATTCCCATTCCAAAAGAGAGGAACTGAGACATAATGAGGAAAGATTGGATAAAGAGAAGATGGAAACTCAGCAGGACAACCATCAAATCTAGTAGTTCTGTGTCAGACACATGGAGCTTCATTTTCAAAGGGCTTAGATGGTTCTCAACCCACAACTTCCCATACATCTCTCTCTTTGGTTACTTCCTCTCCATATATGCAGCTCTCCATGGAAGATATCTCATAGCTTAAGTATCTCAACATCTTATGGTCTCCAAATGCAATGCATAGTATCATGCAATGCACTTAGACAGTGTCCTCACTGGAGCTCTTACCATGCCAAACACACATAGCTACAACAGTGCTGACCTGAAAACCCAGACTAACAATGTATGAACTTAAATTTTGTATCATTCTGGTTTCTAGAACCAATCCACCATCAATGATTCCCCCCAATTTGGCTTCTAAGTTCTGATGGCCCCTACCATGCTTGGATCAGAGTTGCAACAGTGTTTGTATGAAGTTCCTTCCTGGGACTGGGAATCACTTTGCCTAATCCCTCCATTAACTGATGGCATAGAAGGATGGATTCTTACCCTTAGGACACCTCGCTAGACTTCCAATGTAGAGCAAAGGCCTTCTTTATAATGGTTATAATCTTCCTAAAAATTCCTGTCTCTGTTCAGCATTTGACTGTCATCTGAAAATACATAGTCCTGTTTTTCTCTACAACCCATAGACTTGTCATATATTTAAGATCCACTTCTTGAATTTTTTCACTGTAATCCTGAATGAATCATAAATAATAGGCATCCAAGAGAGTCATTATTCCATCTAAGAAATCACCCCCATTGTTTTTTTAATGCTTCCTTACTCATTTTCTTGGGAACATGGCAAAATAAGAAAGGTTAGGTGCCAAAATATCATACAAATGACCTCTATCTTAATTCCCACTGTAATCCTATGTCCTCTACCCCAACTGTTTACAGTACCTTCAACAGTACTTTTTTTCTAAATACTACAAGAATGACCAATTAAGCTCTGTGTACAGCTTTCTATGTCCTTTGCCATCTAAATTTTGTTATCTTTAACATTCCTCCAAAAGTCATCATTCTCAGAACCTTTGAATAACAAAATCACTTTTGGTTTATCACATTCTGTTATAACTTAAATTTTTCTTGCTCTGATTCAATTGTCTAAACAAAAGTACCTCAGGTAAAGGATGTGCTTATTTGGCTCATTCTGCCAGATCACAATCCATCATTGTGGGAGCTTAGGTTAGAAATTCAATCTAGCAACTGAAGGCAAAACCATGAGGAATCTTCATTTCCTGGCTTTCTCTCTTACTTGGTCATTGTCTAATGCTTAGTTTACTGTCTTATCCAGTGCAGGCAAACATTCTTAGGAATATTGCACACTCAGTGGAAGGGCCATCACCCATCAATCATCAATCAACCAAATCTCTCAAAGACTTAGCAACCAGCCATTCTGATGGGAACATCCTCAACTGATGTTCCCAAAGGTGATTGTAGAATCTGAATTATTGACATTAATTAAAACAATAATATGTGAGAAGATTTTTTTTAAAAAAACAATATATCACTACACCAATAACTTAAGTAGGTAAAATGCAAATATTAATGATAATAACTAGAAACACAGATATGATAAAAAATGAGGAAATACAAGTTTCTAGGAGTAAGAAAAGGATGCTTAATTTTTTGTACACAGAAAGTCGCCAAACCAATAAACTCAAGAAACTCCTGACATAATGTATCAGTTTTCCAGAAAATAAAAATAGGTGAAGGTTCATCATTTTCCAGAGAAACAAATACAGCTAGATTATAGGCAGTGGGAATGAGTCCCATACTCAGTGCATGAGTTGGCTGTTTGAAACCTGGGACTTATACAGGGACACTTGGCTCAGCCTTGGTGGAGGGGACTGGACCTGCCTGGACTGAATTTACCAGGTTGAACTCAATCCTCAGGGGAGTCTTTGCCCTGGAGGAGATGGGAATGTGGGGTGGGCTGGGGAGAAGGCAGGGGGGCCGGGAGGGGAGAGAACAAGGGAATCAGTTGCTGATATGTAAAATTAAATTAAATTATAAAATAAAATAAAAAAGTAATCACACAACATAGATGGTACCATTGACAAAAAAAAGACAGAGAGGAAGGCATACAAATATAACATTATCACTTGAACAAGAAATATTACATTCTAATAAAAATTCAAATCAAAGAAAACACTGACTAACACTCACCTTGTGCACTCCAGTTCTCGCCTTCACCAATAATAGAAAATGTGGTCAGTGGTAGAAGACACCCTTAATTCCAGCACTCGAGAGGCAGAGCCAGGAAGATCTCTATGGGTTCGAGGCCAGACTGGTCTACAGAATGAGATCCAGGACAGACACCAAAACTGCATAGAAAAATCTTGTCTGAAAAGATGAAAAAAAATGGGTTGGGTGAGCAGGACTCTTCCACCAAAATTGATAGACTTCCCTGAATTCTGATATTTCTACATTGTAGAAAATAGTTTTGGCTCTTAAAGTTGTATCATTCTCTGTTGGTAATGAAAAGAATGTCTGTTAGATCATTTAGAAACTATTTTCTTTCCTATGATTGAAGATTGGATGTAAGTCTGCATCAGAGTGGGAAAATGGAAAATTTTCAAAGCAAATGAAAGATAAAAGCTTTTTAAATAATTGTTGTGTGATTTCTTTTTTTTTTTTTTTCACTGATAAAAGTTTTTCTCTTCTAAGCATTTATTCCTATAACACAGGTGTTGAGGTATCTAACAGTTTACTTACAGAGTTTTTTCTTAATCATGAATTGGATCATGTAACAGAAAACAAACATGTGGACTTGAAGTCAGAGAAATCAACCCTTGTAAGTTGGTGGTATCATTTGGGAAGATTTAGGAAATGCTGCCCTGCTGGGGGAAATATGTCAGTAGGGGTAGACTTTGAGAATTTGCATCATACACCATTTCCAGTTCCCACTCTCTACTTCATGCTGCAGGTTAAGGATGTAAATTCTTAGCCTCCTGCTTTAGCTGCTATGTCTGGCATTTGTTGCCATGCCAATTGGTATCCCTCTGGAACCAAGAGTCAAATTTAACTCTCTTATAAGTTGACATACATATTATATCACAATAACAGAAAAGGAACTCATACCAATCCATAGTTTTAGTCCTGCATTAATTATTTCATGTAATTAAAGGAAGTATAAAATCTAAAAGAGTTACATTAACATTTAAATTTATAGTACAAGAGTTCCAGCTCTGGAGAGAAAGGTACCATGACTGTTGGAAGTCTGGCTGTACCTACAGCTGTGAAAGAAAAGTACCCTGGATATCTACAGCTGTGAGGAAAAATATCCTGACTGTTAAGAAGTCAGGCTATACCCACAGCTGTGAACAAAAGGAATCCTGGATATCTACAACTGTGTGGAGAAAGGTATCCTGGCTGTTGGGAAGTCAGGCTATACCTGAAGCTGTAGAGGGAAGATATCCTGGATACCTACAGCTCTGAAGACAAAGGTACCCAGAATGTCACAAATCAGGCTATACCTACAGCTGTGAAGGGAAGGTATTATGGATACCTACAGCTGTGAGGAGAAAGGAATACTGATTGGTAGGAAGTCAGGCTGTACCAGAAGCTGTGTTCTGGTGGGGGAATGGTCTCCCTCCAGGACATGCTAATACTGCTGTTCTCTGAGAGAGATCCATTACACTTGGGCTCTGCTTCACTCTGCTAAGAGAGATGCCGAGGGGAGATACCAATTGCTGCTCTGATCCACTCTCCTAAGGGAGTTTACCAGCACAGTTTCTACTGCTTCACTAGGGAGTTTCCCAGCAGAGTTTTCCATTTCTTCTCAGCCCTGGACCAATTGTTACTTCTCTGCCTCACTCAACTAATGGGGAACTCTTGTAGAAATGCAGCAGTCTGCTCTGGCTCTGGTGAAAAGTTGCCATGTCTGCTTTGCTCCCCTAATCTAGTTTCCCAGAAGAAGTGTCCCTTGTTTCACTGTTCCACTACACTAGGAGTTTCTCATCAGAGATGTCCATTGCTTCTCTGCTCTGTTCCATTAGGGAGATTCCCAGCAGAGATACTGCTCTGCTCTGGTGAAAGGTCTTCAACCAAAACTATTTAGGAGGGAGGAATCCAGGAGAGTGGCTGCCTCTAGCAGAGTAGAAAAGGGCAGCTGCCAACTGAACAGGCACAGGGCATTTATGAGGCTTCTTAGGGGCTGAATGTTTACAGAGAGAAGATTCTAAGGGTGGGAATTGATCAGATTTCAATCCCAGAGATCAACCAAGCTCAGAGATTGGCTGAAATTACTGTTTAGTGATTGGTTAGTTTTGTGGTCAGGGATTGGTTGATTTTCCTGCTCAGGGATTTACTTGTTTTGTGCTCATTTGGTCAGGCATACAGTGTGTTTCTTTGGCTCTGGGTTCAGGCCAAAATGTATGTTTTTCACTGGCTCTGCTTTCAGGCTCCCATGTGTTCCTTTGGCTGGCCCCTTTACCCAACACATAGGGCTTCATAAATTCTTAAATTGATTTCTTCCATCAGTTTTCAGGGGGAAACAATATAAAAAGGACATCATAAAGCTCTATAGATGACTAACATTGTCAATTTTTTTCTATAGAATAAATACTCTTGTGTAACTCAATGCAAGTGTGTTAGATAAAGATCTTACCAAATACTTTATAATAATAATCCCTGTGTGTTTTAAAAGGTACTCAAAGACTATTGTAATATGCAAAGCCTTTAGCATATTGATTGCACACCAAGTTTTACTACTGCATAAAGTGCAAAACATTACCACATTGTTTATATTTTTAGTTTCTCTGCAGCATGACATTTTTTCATGATTTTGAAGATTACTGATGTATGCAAAGGGTTCACCACACTAATTACATTTTTTTAGGGTTTCTCTCCAGTATGTGTTCTTTTATGAGTTTGAAGATTACCCTGTTGTGTAAAGGCTTTACCACACTGACGGCATTCATAGGGTTTCTCTCCAGTATGTGTTCTTCTATGAATTTGAAGATTACCCTGTTGTGTAAAGGCTTTACCACACTGATTACATTTATAGGGTTTCTCTCCAGTATGTGTTCTTTTATGCTTTCGAAGAACACTATGACTTGCAAAGGCTTTACCACATTCAATACATTCATAGGGTTTCTCTCCAGTATGTGTTCTTGTATGACGTTGAAGGTATCTTTGTTGTGCAAAGGCTTTACCACATTGAATACATTCATAAGGTTTCTCTCCAGTATGTGTTCTTGTATGGCTTTGAAGATTATTGTGATGTGCAAAGGCTTTACCACACTGATTACATTCATAGTGTTTCTCTCTAGTATGTGTTCTTTCATACCTTTGAATATGACTGTCATATGCAAAGGCTTTAACACACTGAGTATATACAGAAGGATTCTCTTCATTATCACTTCTTTCATGCCTTTCATGTCTTCTAGAACTCTGAAAATGTTCTTCAATATTATGGTCTTCCCAACTGTATCCTATGGTAATGAGGTTCCTGTAGGTTTCTAGCATCACATCTTTGTAGAGATTCTTCTGGGAAGGATCCAGCAAAGCCCACTCTTCCCAAGTGAAGTTGACATGTACATCATTATAGGTCACTGCATTTTGGGGGATCCAACTCTCCATTATTCCAAGTTCAGTGTTTTGGAGACCATCTTTTGATCACATGGCATGGCTTTCCAGCTCGTCCATGGCCCCTCACAGCTCCTGCAGCAGCACTCTCAGCACAGCACATGAAAACACTGGCGCCAGCTCCTCTGTTGTGTGATTTCTATTCTATACCTAAAGCAACTTGATTTCCTCTAATGGTTTTATAAGTCATAAGGTCTTTTGAAAACAAATTTAGCCATATTTTATGTGTATATTTATAGGCATGAAAAAGCATATTTTCCATGTATACAGATGACACAACAAAGGTCATATCAGATCCCCTGGATCTGGGAATATCAAATAGTTATAAGCCTAAAAACTTGGTTGCTGGAATCTGAACTCCCCCAAGAAGAATACCTGCAGAGTGACATGCACAGCACCTTTTATCCAACAAACTGAAAGTCTTTCACAGATTAACCACAACAGAAACCTAAATAAGGAAATAAGGAAATGAATGATCTCTGGGAACCTAATGAATCGGTATTGAGATGTTGGGTATATGAACAGGGAGGCTACCTACAGACTTTCCCCACTCTCTGTTACCCAAGACCCAATACTCAGGGTCACTCCAAGGGCTGAAACAGAACTGCAGCTTCTCCTTTCCCTTTCCATGTCCCCTCTGGATTCCAAAAATCATCCCCACCTACCCTTCCCTACTCACTTCATATCTGAGTCACATCACTCAAATGGGCAGACACTCCTAGCTCAATTATTTGTTACATCTTCCAGAATGCCAGTTAAAATGCCTGCAGATCTATGACACCATCACTTACCCTAGACCTTATTCTAAAAGTTGCCCTTACCACTGGAGTAGAACACCAGAGGCATCTTTCCCTCTGTCCTCTCTGTCTTCTGTGGATCCCTAATATCAGCTCTCCTGAATTTATTTTCCCCCAGCTTCCAACACCACCAAGCCTTCTCCCTTGAACACAACAGCCAAGAAGGCCAGTACAAAAGGCAATACTCACTCAACACATACTCTGAAAATCCAAAGAACAAAGAGAAACCCAAAAACAAAACTCCAATCAAACCAAGATGATGGTAGAAACCAGCACTTAGACTTATAATCACCCCAAACTCAGATGCTGAGCATAAGAACATAGTAACAGTCAGGGCAACATGGAACCAACAGAGCTCAGCTATACTATCACAGCAGGCCCTCAATTTTCATTTTTTAAAGATTTATTTATTTTATATATACAGCATATATGACTGCATGCCAGAAGAGGGCACCAGATCTCATTATAGATGGTTGTGAGCCACCATGTGGTTGCTGGGAATTGAACTCGGGACCTCCAGAAGAGCAGTCAGTGCTCTTAACCTCTGGGCTATCTATCCAGCCCCCTAAATTTTCTAACATAGCTGAAATACAAGAAAAAGACCTTAAAACAAACTATATGGAGGTGATAGAGGTCCTTAAAAAGAAAATAAATAAATACCTTAAATAAATTCATGAAAGCACAAACAAACAGACAATTGGAGGAAATCAATAAATTCCTCCAAGAAAGCTAGAATAACACAAGCAATTGCAGTAAACCAGTAAACAACTTAAATAAAGCCAAGATAAACAAACAAATAGTTGAAGGAAACAAAACTGTTTAAGACCTGAAAATGGAAATAGAAACATTAAAGAAAACAGAAACTGAAGAAATTCCAGAAAAGAAAAATTTAGGACTACAAACAATACAAAAAGTACAGAGGCAAGGTTCACCAACAGAATAGAGAGATGGAAGAGAGAATCTCAGGCAGTGGGGATACAGTAGAATAAATGGATATGTCAGTCAAAACAATGTTAAATATAAAAATTACTTGATGCAAAGCAACCAAAAAATCTGGGACATTATGCTGACACCAAATTTATGAATGACAGGAATAGAAGAAAGAGAAAAAACCCAGCTCAAATGTCCAGAAATATTTTCAATAGAATCATATAATAAATGTTTCGTAAGTTAAAGGAGGTGCTGATGAAGGCACAAAGAAGCATGCAAAACACCACATAAATTGGGTCAGAAAAGAAAGATCCCTTGTCACATAATAAGCAAATCAATAAACATACAGAACAAAGGAGAATATTAAAAGCTGCAAATGAAAAAAACCAAGTAACATATAAAGACAGACTTATGAAAATTACACCTGACTTATCAGTGGAGATTCTAAAATCCATAAGGGCTTGGACACATTGATGCAGGCTCTAAGTAACCACAGATGCCATGCCAAATTACTATATCCAGAAAATTTTCAATCGCCATAAGGGAAGAAAATAAGATATTACATGATAAAGTCAAATTTAATCAATATCTATGTATAAATCAAGCATTACAGAAGGTACTAGAAGAAAAAATCCAACCCAAGGAAGCTAGCTATACACATGGAAACACAGTAAATAAATAATATCACATCAGCAAAAACAAAAGAAGGGAAACGGAAACACACAAACATACACAAACATACTCTCATTCACATGCTATCATCACCACCAATAACAAGAACAAAATAACAAATATTAATAATCATAATGACTTACATCTCTCAATAGCAATAGCCTCAATTCCCCAGTGAAGATGCAAATTAACAGTATGGATTCAAAAACAAAATCCATCCTTCCACTGTATACAAGAAACACACTTCATCATCAAGGAGAGATATTTGTGAAAGGTGAAGGCTGGATAAAAAATTCAATCAATTGAAACTAAGAAGCAGGCTTGTGTAGTCATTTTAGTATCTACCAAAATAGATGTCAAGCAAAAATTAATCAAAAGAGTTGGGGAAAAATACTCCATATGCAAAGGACAATTCCACAAATATGATATTTCAATTGTTAAAATATACACCCCAAACACAAGGTCACCCACTTTTGTAAAAGAAACACTTATGCAGATCAAATGACACATTGATTCTCATACAGTGTTTGATAGTGATAGACTTAAATACACCACTCTCACCAATGGACATGTCATCCAGATGAAAACCAGAGAAATATTGGATCTCATGGATTTTATAAACCATATGAATCTAATAGAATATTCTACACAAAGAAAAAGAATACACCTTATTCTCAGCACAACATGGAATTATCTCCAAAGTTGATGACACACTTGGACACAATTCAAGTCTCAACATATACAAGAAGATTGAAACAACTACCTGCATCCTATCAGACCACTATGGATTACAGCTACATATTAAAATCTAGCAAGCAAAAACCAGAAAGCTTCCAAACTCATGGAAAATGAACCAATCTCCACTGAAGAAAATATGTCAAGACAAAAATAAAGAAGGAAATTAAAGACTTTCTAGAATTCAAGGAAATAATACACAATGTATGCAAACTCAGGGGACACAACAAAAGTGCTGATATGAGGAAACTTCATAGCACTAAGAGCCTATATAAAAAAGTTAAAAGAATGAAGAGATCTCATATTAGCAACTTAACAGCTCATATGAAAACTCTAAAACAAAAGTAAGTTAAGCATACATAAGAGAAGTAGACAGGAAGAAACTATCAAATTGAGCAAAAAAAAAATTAACAGAATAGAAACAAAGAAAAATACAAAGAGTCAATGAAACACAGATTTGGTTCTGTGAGAAAATCAACAAGACATACAAATCCTCATTCAAACTAAGAGACACAGAGAGAATGTTCTAATTTACAAAATCAAAAACAAAACTGGCCCTTAAAAATCTGGAGATTGAAACAATCTGGAGGTAGACAGACTCTGGGTTTCCAATTTCAGTTATTCAATGAATCATAACTCAACTGCTTGATATCCTTGAGATCATTAACCTAATTAAGCACAGATTTCCAGTGTTGTGGTAAATATAAAGTGAATTAAAGAGCAATTGCAATCACGAACATAGAGAAACAATACCCAATAAAAGATTTGCAAACTGATTCCAAGAATACATCCAAAAGATCATCCAAATTGATTGAGTAGGCTTCATCTTAGAGAGACAGTGATGACTCAATATATAAAAATCAGTAAATGCAATCCACCATAAAAATATACTGGAAAAAAAAAACTATCATCCCATTAGACACTGAAAAAGCCTTTGACAGAATCATACATCATAAAAGTCTTGGAGAGATATGGGACACAAGGTAAATACATAAGTGTAATAAAGGAAATTTACAGCAAGCCTATAGCTAACAACAAATTAAATGGAGAGAAATTCAAAGTAATTGCAGTAAAATATGGAACAAGATAATGCTGTGAACTCTCTGTAGCTACTCAATATAGTTCTTGAAGTTCTAGATAGACCAAAAAAAAAACTGAAGGACATAAAAGAGATATAATTTAGAAAGGAAAAAGTCAAAGTATTATTATTTGTAGATGATATGATAGTATACTTAAGTGACAATAAAATTCCAACAAGGGAACTACAGCTGATAAACACTTTCAGCAAAGTGGCTAGATACAAGGGTAACTCAAAAAAAATCAGTATCCCTCCTCTAAAAAGTGACAAACTGACTGAGAAAGAAATACAGGAAACACCCTTCACAATCACCTCAAATATTATAAAACATGTTCAAGTAACTCTAACAAAGCAAGTGAAATATGTGTGATCAAAACTTCAAAGTATTTGAAGAAAGAAATTGGAGAGAATATCAGGAGACGGATAGATCCCCCATGCTCATGGATCAGTAGGATTAACACAGTAAAAAGGCCACCCTACCAACAGCAATGTAAAGATTCGCAAAATCTCCATCAACATTCAAACACATTTGTTTGAACACCTTGAAAAGACAGTTTGCAGATTCATATGAATAACCAAAAGAACGGGATAGCTAACACAATCTTGAACAATAAAAGAACAACATGGCATTGTCAGTAAAAAAGACAAGTTAAAAAATGGAATCAAGTTTTTAAGACCCAGACATAAATCCATAAACATGTGGACACCTGCTTTCTGATAACGAAAATAAGAAGTATGAAAAGGAAAAAAAAGACAGCACTTCCATCAAATGGTGCCTGTTAATCTGAATTTCTGCATGTAGAAGAGTTCAAATAGATCCACTTTCATCATGCTGAAAAAAACTCAAGTCCAAGTGGACCAAAAACCCCAAAATAAAACCAGACACACTGAAAATGATACAA